TTTTCTTCCTTTACCTTTTCATTTCTTTTCGTTTGAAAATTTGATTTAACTAACCCTTAAAACCGGTACTTTGTATGTTAACGGTTAAAGGGGAAATAACAGTAGCAGTGATAGTAGTAGTGATGATGATGATGATGATGATGATCATTATCAGTCGGCCGGTAACAGAATTAAAATTGAAGGAATTGAAAAAATCTTGTCCTTGAGCAATGCCATATTTGCCGAATCTAACAATGAAGCATCAACATATCATCATCATCATCATTATCATGATCACGATCATCATGATCGTCATCGTCATCGTCATCATGAACAACACTGTTATCATCATTAATAAGAGCAGCAACAAATTGCAATACGACTACTATTGGGATAGCACCAAATAAATCAATATTCTTTTGATTATTTAAATATATTTAACAAAAAATTTATAAAACTTTTTTTTAAAATATCTTTTTTATTCAAATCGTTACTTCTTTTTAGTATTTTTTTCCTTTTTTTTTTTTTTTTTGTCCAACAAAGATTGTGATGTAATCATTAAAAGAGTAAAACGGAAAAAATATTTTGCTAAATTTTTAACAATAAAATTTACAATTATAAATGTTAATTATTGCAAATTGGAAAGTAAATAAAGGGAAAATTAGGTATAAAAAAATGGAAAAAATGAGTTAAATTTCGAAAATAAAAGTGATTTTAAATAAGTAAAAGTTATTTCAGTAAAAGGAATTAACAATTAATCGATTTTTTTTTTTTTTCTTTGATGGTTTGAGCAGTTTGAAATGGGAAAGCAAAAAAAAATAAAAATAAAATTCAGGTTGTATATGACATTATTATTGGTCATAAACCGAAATGAATGAAATAAATGAAACAATATCGTTTAAGAAACATAAATAAAAACTTGAAAAGTTTAAACCTAAATAATTATTATATCACACTGAAATGCCACATAGTATCATAGAATATTGTCACATAATAAAAGGTGACATTTTAGCATGATATAATAACGTAATGTTAGCACTATACTTATAATTTATTGATTTTTGTTTATCAGTAAACACTTTCAAAAATCGACCATATATATTTATTTATTATCAAAATTACCATAATAATTAGCCATCTATTAGATTTGTATTTTCTCCTCGAATAGTTTTTTTCTTTTTTTTTTAGATATAAAATTGATAATTCAAGCTAAGAATATCATATGATCTTAATACAATGATTGATAACTGTAAGATAAAATGATAACTTATACAACTAAATATTAAAATTAATTATTATTCTTTCAGATGAGAAAAGTTAATCATCTCTTGAAGCAATTTTTTTGTATCGTTTGATTTTTTTTTCCCCCCTAATGTAAAAGAAACAAATTGATTTTAAAATTGATTAATGATATGATAAGTTAAAAGATAAACATTATAATACAATACATTTCTAATATTATTAGTAGTTTTACCTGAAAATATTCATGCATTATTAATTGTTGCATGAAGAAATTCATTTTTTAAATTTACAACAAAAAAAAACTTTTATTTTATAAATGTAAAATGTTTATATCATTTTTAATATGTTAAATTTTCATTAATTTATTATTTTAAATAATTTAAAGTACCATTTCAACATTTAATTATAGTAATTACACATTTTTTACTTCTTATTTTTTAAAAATTATCATTAATTTTTTTCATATCATAATGATATGATAATTATATCATTCTTCATTATGGATAAATTTCATCATTCTTATTTATTTCTAATTCATTGATCATTTTCATTCATTCATTCATTCATTCATGCATGAATGATAAAAATATTCCAGTTTACGATTGTTCATCATTCTAATATTATATATTATTTATAAATGAATATATATATATATCTGATTGGAATTATTTATTATTCGTTTATTTTCATTGTTTAAAATTTCATAATATCAATTTATTTGTTTAAATGGGATATTATTTAAGAAATAAAACAATTTACATAGGATAATAAAGATTTAGAAATTATTTCTGTTTAAAATGATCCCAAAAGTGTCACCCATAAATATCGTTATTATGACACAATTTATTGCGACATATTAAAGAATTCATCTATTTTAACAATTTTAATTCATACCGATTGTTTTTATTTTATTATCGAATAATTTATTTATCCCAAAATTATTCTTCCATTTATTTTGTAAATATTATAAGTATTATTGGATGATTGTAATTATAATATGTAAAAATAAATTATGCATCTATTGTGTTTTCCCCTTTTTTTTTTTTTTTTTTTTTTGCATATTCAATACATTTACATAAAGTTATTAAAGGATAGAATTTGTTACGCCTACCATAAGTTTGCATTTTTGAAATAAAATTAAAAAAAAAAAAATGGAATTTGTTGCATTAAAAAGCTTACGTACTTAATACATAATCGAAATTATAAGTTATTTTAATTAAAAAACTCAAAAAATTTTCAAATCAATCTAATCATAATTCATGTTTTAATATTTGGATACATTACAAACAAAAAAAAAAAATTGATGCCATCATGTCTACGATACATTACAGACTTAAAGGCATCAATTTTTGCTTTTTAATTTTTGTTTCTAAAGAATCATCAAATTCTCATCAATAAATTATTAATGGATAGCATAATTGAAAGCATGTTATATATGTTTTTATCAATCGATAACAATTAAATTGAAAAACTTTGAAAAACGATGTGAAATTAAAAAAAAAAAAATTAAATGACATATTATTTTCCTAATTTTATCATTTTTGATGGAGAAAATATATTTTTAACTTTTTTTTTTGCTTTTTTTCCTTTTCCGTTTTAAAGCAAAAAGAAAAAAATTAATTATTAATAAGAAAATTAGTGACAGTTATAATTGCAAGAAAATAGATAATTTCAATGGTTGCATTGAAAGTGAAAAAAAAACCAGTAATGAAATAATCGATGAATTGTAAGAAGTTAAAAAGAAAAAAAAGAAAAAGAAAAATGTCTGAAATTGTTACAGGGAATTTTTTGGATATTTTATTTGATGATTTCAGCCTAAAAAATAATTTGCATTTAAATTTATTACAATATCACTTAAAAGAAATGATGAAACAAAAGTGAAAATGATAGTTATTCTTTTCATTTGATATAATAATTGATTAGGATGTATCGAGAGATCCGGTTATTCTGAGCAACAAATCTTCTTTATGAATCCGGTATAACAATTATATTAGTCTATGGATCCGGTATAACGATATGTTAGTATGCAAAAATTATCATCAATTAAATGATAGAATTTTAGAATATCTTTGATGTGAATTATTATAACCAATGTTTCTGTTTTTTTTTCCTTTTCCATTTTTTTCAAATTTTCAAACTCTAACTTTAAATTTCTTTTCCATTTTCAATCAGTATTAGTAACAGTTATTTACCGTTATCTGGTCATTTTTTTTTGAATGCCAAAACTTATATCGTAAAAAATAAATTCCATTATTTTTTTTTACCTTCCCATTAGTAACCAATTATTGATTCAAGGTCAAACAGTTTTCTTTTCCCATCTC